CTAAAACTGTCATACGTTTCCTCTTTTCTCCACTCCCTTGATTAGGTTCTTACCATCTCTCACCTAAACTTCTGTTACAGTGTTCTAATGGAATTGCCTAACCCCATCTTCCACAGTTATCAGAATGATCACTCTAAAAAGCAAACTTGATCAAAATGTCATTTGATGGCTCCTTGTGACTTAAAGGAAAAGTCCAGCCTTTTGGCCAACATGCAAGGCTCTTCACAATCTTGCTCTGGTCTCTTCCTGCAGCATAACTGCCCATCACTCACAGAGCACATCTACTAGACCATTTTCAGGTCTCCAACACGCCAGGCCCTCATGTCATTCTCTGTCCCTATATTGTCATTCTCCCCATGTCTACCTAACATAATCCTTCTCATCTTTCAAGAACTGACTTACATATAACTCTCTCTAGAAGCTTCCCTGACAATCCCTCACATTCACCCTGGACACGGGGCTACTCCTCTGTGCTCCCATAGCTTTTAATTACACTTATCATGTGACATCACAATTTATGGTTATACATGACAGCCCCTTTTGCAAACAATAAGTTCCCTAAGGACAGGGACCATATGTTGTTCATCTCTGAATTCCTAGCTACTATCTTGCATACAATAAATATGGAATAATTACTGACTGACTAAATAAATGACTGAATGAAGAATAAATTAGAAACCCTATAAAATGATTTATTCTACTGGGTGCTAGCAAGACATTGAATCAGTGTTTCCAATCAGCTACATACAGTGATATTTAAACATTTTATTTCTAATAAATATCCTGAAAGTAAACCGAGCCAATATATGGATTAACTGTTCCATCCTAACCATCATATCTGTTTCTCTTTCCTATTTTTGTACACATTTCACTGTCTTTCTTCTGGCCTTTCTGAACTCTTCTGCCTGTGGTTTAGGCTGGCCCATAGTACCCCCTGCTGATTTTGCTCCAGCAAAAGCAGTAACTGACCTCTGACGGAGGACATCTATTACCAGGGCTTGTTTGTATATAGTCAGAGTATACTACCACCTCTTTGATATGATGCCAGGGCACTGAGATGCCCACTGCCACTAACACAGTCCTCTCTGCACCTAACACTTTGCTTCCCTTGGTTGAAGGCTCTGATCCCCATCAGTCTGCATTCTGAAGGTAATTCTTTAATCTTTAGAAACCATTAGGAACTGGAAGTCTTCCCAGCAGAAAGTCTATACAGGGTGGGAGACAGACACATGACAGACCTCTGAATCCTTTCATTGAAATGCCCTCATCTGCACTGCACACCACATGATAAGAGCTACTTGGGCGTGTGTTGGGATGCCACAAACACGCTCAGGCTCTTATTTCAATAAAGTGACCATTCAGAAAAGGCAAGAAGCTGAAATTTTCCATCCGTGCAGGGTTATTAAAAAGTCAATATTCCTTAGAGTGGAATGCATGCTAGATTCCTTCAAAGAAGAAAGGAGAGGCCATCGGGCAACTGAGGGATGTGGGATGGGGAAGGACGTGAGAAGAGGAACCAGAAGGGGAAAAGAAATGAGAAGCTTGGAATGCACTTGAGAAACTAGCGTTTTCTTTAGTGTATTGGGCTGGTCCTGTGAGAGGCCACAGTGTTAATATAAGCTATCACAGAGACCAATCTTCAGACAGGCAGTCTTAAAGGAAGAGATTAGAGAGAGAAACTACAAGGCCAGTCCACTTGCAGCCTCCTTCAGACCAAAGCAGCACCAAAATGGGGACATCTAAGACTATCAGTGTTGCCCGGAGCACCCAACCTTGTTTCACAGAACATGTCATCCCAAGTAACAAAGGAAGGTCTTCTCACCCCAAAACCGGTCTACCTCTATAGTCAAGACATGTTATACCTCATTTATGGGCAGGGTCCTGACCCCCATGGGAAGAGCTTCTCACATCTTTATTTGTATACTCCCCACCTTGGTTCAGCCATATCTTGTGGATTATTTGGGGATAGGAAGGACATGATGTGCTATCAAGGTGTGGTTCATGAACCAGTGCCAATCTGAGAAGTGCGTGTCACTGGTTCGCAATGAGGGGAGTACAGAAATTGCGTGTATACATTTAGACTCATTTATAGCAATTTGCTAAGACATCCCAGAACTGTATCGGGGCTTTATACTTTGTATGACTTTGCTGTTTTCTGTATTTCATTTTTGTTATATTTTTATGTAAGATTCCAATCTGTGATGACTAAGAAATACAGATTATTTTTTAAAAAACCAAAACACTGGTCTTTGACCACAGTTTGTGCCAATACTGCACAGTTAAAATTCAGCAACCAGCACTGAAACTGTGAGCATTTGGAGTTTTCCTTTTGCCACTTTAAAGAAAACCTCACTCTCTATTCCTTCATTCATCAAACCTCTCTCTACTTCCTTGTGTGACAGGTGCAAACAAAGATGAGTTCCGGAAGAATGCAGGTACCAGATGGCGCGTGAGTTCATGCCAGGCACCCACAGTGTTTCAATTCTTCCCAGGCAGGACCCCACAGAACTGTGCCCATACAAACAAGGAATCTTGCCACAGAACCTATTAGAAAAACTGCTTCAGAAACTGCAATATCTAGTCACTGTTGCCTCACAACACTCCCGGACACCTGACTCCTGGCTAAGAAAATATTGACAGGTACTGAGTCATGCTATTGAAGTTCAATTCCTCTAAAAGTACAGGCCCCAAAATACACTTAACACACCCAGTTCGCAAAGGTTAAAGTATAGGTGAGAAACACCGCAGGAACCCGATACTGAGTAAAGTACTAGCTTCTGACATGGGAAGGAAGAAGTAAACAACAGCTCCTTCCCCAGTTCTGGATGATTACCACCCATGTCACGTCATGAGCAAAGCAGCATACATTTTTATTCTGACATTTTTATTCTTGCCTTCTGAACCATACCTCATCTATGTTATAATAACATAATTATAAAGCCACTGGAAATTGCCAATTTTCTTTCTTCCTGTGAAATGCTAAGTGGTTCCCACATCTCATTTCATTTAATCTCATAATATCCTCGTGAGGCAGCTCTGCTCTGATTTACAGATGAAACCAGAAAGACTCGTCTGAGGCCACACAAGGAATGCAGAAAATAATGAAGATATGACTTGGGGAAGCTATATTAATAGCCTCAAATTGAGGAGCAGGGGAGAAACACCCACCAGCCTGCATGGGGGTCATGAAGAAAAGCCAGGTAATGAGGGCAGCGGCGCCTCTGTCCCCCAGGCCCTTTGAGATGAAATGCGTTCTTGGGAGAAGGACAGGAAATCTGACCCAGATAAAACTGTGCAGTAAGCTAAGTTGGTCTTCTGACACCCCCAAATCTCCGTTCCCCTTCTGTGGTACTTGAACCCTCCTCCCCTAGTTAGTCAGTGTTCTGGTGTCCCCATCATCCATCAGATTGGCTCTTAGGAGCTGCGCTCAGCTCCTTAATGATGATTCTAAATAACTGTGTTCTCACTCCTGGAGTTTCTAATACTTAAGTTCTCATCTCTCCCTATGGAAGGAAATCCTTTATCTCATTAGGGGGATTGCTGGAAAACGGGAAGTCACCAAGGGGAAGTGGTAGGGGTCGATTCTCACTCAATGTATGTGAGAGTCCACACTTCTATTCACTAAATGCCCACTATGTGCTATTGACCATTTTAAGAATTCTACATTTACTAGCTAATTAAATTCTCAGTAATCCTGCTGGAAAATCATTATCATTCCATTTTTACAGTTGAGAAACCAAAGGCCCAAGAAGTTAAGTCACTTCTAACACAAGGTCACAAAATCAATTAGTGACTACTTATTGTTTAACTTCTAGCCAACATGGTTTCTACATACAGAACATTACAAATCATCCCAGAGGGGAAACAGTCCAGCCTACAACCCATGGAAGTGAGTCCTCTCCAACCGGGAGATGGATACTGGGTACCTTAATAGAATCAGTATTCCATTATTCACGTCATGTAACTTTACTCATATTTGGCTCTGAAATGCCTATTGATGCCTACATTATAGACCTTCTCCCTCATGTGTCAACTACATTAGAAATATCCCTGTTCCCTAGGTGCCTCAGACTTGGAAACTGACTCAGTGATTAACCTACCAGCAAATTTGTTGACTTCAGCCCTGTTGTAGACTCTGAATTGAATTGTCTTCACTGAGGAGGTACAGATACAATGCAACTGCCTTCCCACCAAAGGGTAATAACTATACCTCCAAGGGATGAACACCAATGGGAAGATCTTAAATACCTAAAAGCAAATCATCAAAAGGTTTCTGGCAATGTAGCTCCACAGTCAGGTACTTCTTAAGAAGGATGCACAAATGTACATTTTTGACTGGCCAGATGGTAACAGGTATGGAAAACACCAAAAAAAAAAAAAAAATCAAGACTGAAATATTGAGGACAATCTGCATCCTAAAGAGGCATTTACTGAGCACCTCCTATATACCAGGTATTCTACCTACGTTATCACTAATTCTCACTATAGTCTTTCCTGGTATATATATATTATCTTTCCTATCTAGAGTTAAGAAAAGAGACTCAGAGAGGTTAAATGACTTGTCCATCATCAAATGGCTAATAAGTGGCATATTTAGGATTTGAATTCATGTCTGGTTTCCCAGAAACTTGAGATTCTTCCATTGAACCAGGTTGTACAATTTGATCATAATTCACCTCTTCTCTGAAACGACTATATTTATTTTGAAGTACCTCTTCATTCTACTCTAAGGTGAAATCATTAACACAAATAAAAATCAGCTATTGTTGGTGCTAGAAGAAATCACCCACTTAACATTTTAATTTTATTTAACATTCAGGTTTGTTAGAAATTCTCCAAGTTGGAAGAGTACAGCTCAGGCTTTGTCCACATCAGGGCCCTAAATTCTCTCATACATACTCCCATCACAGTGCCTGTGAGAAGAGTCTGGTGTTTACACTCATAGCACACCAAGCCATGAATCCCACATCCAGCGGCTCTCCCTGTGAGCTCTACCTTACCTTGGGCTTGCTGGTGCTACATCCTCTGGCTCTTCTAGAGCACCAGTTAGCTCTGGGGGAAGGATAGCATCTTTGTTGACGTTATTCACCCAGCTTTCCTTTGCCTCATTTGCTCTGTCCTTACTCTGCTCAGCTGAAAGAGGAAACAATAAAGACAGGAAGGTTATCCCTCACCTCCATGACCTACAACTCTTATAGTAGCTCTTATCACTGAAGCTCAAACTTGAACCTCAGGCCTTTCCAGAGTGCCAAGGCAATCACTAATGAGTCTGAGTATCCAGGGTCAGAATTACATCTGCAAGTCAAGTCAATAGATTCTCATATTGTTAGCGTCCCTCAAGCAGAATCTCCTGAGAGCATGATTGTACATTTAAATGTGCAGGTAAATCCAGAGACCACTACAGCAAAATGCTGACCACCTCTAAGTAGATCTGACCTCAACTGGGGACAGGACTAAATATGTATGCCAGGGGAATTCTCTGGTCAGTGAGTCCTCATTGGAACAGAGACACCATCATTACCAAGCATTTACCAAACATCAACAGTGCCTGACTTGAGGTTGGGCTCTGGGACCCAAAGGGAAATAAACACTTATCATCTGGAATGTTCCTCTCCACTGCCTCTTCCTTCCCCCAGTCTCTACACATCCAAATTCTACATACTCCTCAATACCCAGCTCAGATGCCAAGGCCCCCCAAAAAACTCTGCGTTCCCTATTCAGGAAATAACTTCTTTTTGCCTCTGAACATCAGATCTCTTCACCAGCACCTCTCATAGCATCAACCAAGTACTAAATGCCAGACACAGTGCTGAGTTTTTTGCAAGCATTTCCCTGTGAGGAAGGAGTTTTTTTCCAAGTTCACAGGTTTGGAAATTGAGGATCAAAAAGTTCAGGAGACTTGCCTAAGACCACAGAGCCAATAAATGCCAGGAATGCTTATACATCAACGTTAAGAAGATGAAGCAGGGGCGCCTGGGTGGCTCAGTCGGTTAAGCGTCCGACTTCAGCTCAGGTCATGATTTCGCGGGCCGTGAGTTTGAGCCCCGCGTCGGGCTCTGGGCTGATGGCTCAGAGCCTGGAGCCTGCTTCTGATTCTGTGTCTCCCTCTCTCTCTGCCCCTCCCCCGTTCATGCTCTGTCTCAAAAATAAATAAACGTTAAAAAAAAAAAAAGAAGATGAATCAATATAAGGGCTCCCAATTACCAAATAGTCACATTCCAGGGTGGTATTCCCTACAGAGTCTCTCTACACATAAGTCTAATTTCTTCAATTGCAAAACAGAATCCACAATAGTAACTTGTACCTATCAAGAGTTCTGAAGGCTGGGATGGTTTTGAAAATCAAGAGGGATGCGAGCAACACATGGCATATACTCAACAATAAGCCTTTATTTGCAAGGAGTATGACTCTGAGTCATAAAGAATGAAATCCCAGTTCGCCATTTGCCAATGATACAACCTTGGACAAGTAATTTCACTTCTCTGAACTTTACATGTCCCATATATAGAACGGGGATAATAATACCTACCTTACAATATTGCTGCTATAGTTACAAATATAGAGAGTAAATGCCTATCATGTATTAAATGATCAAAAGGTGAGAGCTGTTTTCCTTATTGTGTACAGGTTAGATCTACACAGGGGCTATTCTCAGGGGTAAAAGTTTATACTGTCTAGTCTAGAGTGAGAGAGAAGGCACACTATAAATGTTTAATAAACCCAACAGAATTCTAAAGCCCTCAAAATACTGTCTTTACAGTCTCTTAAGTAATACACTTGGTTGATTAAAGAGGTATCAGATGTTAAAGTTGTTGAAAGAGATGCTAGTCTCTTTCTGTCACCCCACTCAAAGGAAAAGGTTCTGAATCTTCTGAGTTAAAAGCCAAAAGGAATGCAGGGGTAAATGCCTTATAACCCCAACTCTTGGGGCGCCTGGGTGGCTCAATCAGTTAAGATCCTGACTCTTGATTTCAGTTCAGGTCATGATCTCAAAGTTTGTGAGTTCAAGCCCCATGTGAGGCTCTGTGCTGACAGTGCAGAGCCTGCTTGGGATATTCTCTCTCTCTCTCTCTCTCTCTCTCTCTCTCTCTCTCCCTCCCTCCCTCCCTCCCTCTGCCCCTCCCTTGCATGTGCATACTCTCTCTCTCAAAATAAATAAAATAAACCCCAACTGTCTATACTACTACAACTCAATACAGTCTCTAAAGGACTTCCCATGTTTTTCTACATTACCCTGGGTCACTGAGCCCTGCCTTCATCCATCTGAATTCAGGGCAAGAGGATTTTGAACTGGGGGACTACACATTATGCAAAGCACACCTCTAAATGACATCCCTCAGCAGCTTCCAGTAAAGATTCTAACACCCTTCCCTTCTCTTGACAATGCCTTCCCCACAAATGCTGGCTCAAAATGTACTACCCAAATCAACTCACCTGCTACCTGGAGCTTCTTCTTTCTCATGGATGCTCTGATGATATCTGCACCATGAATTCTGTCTCTGTGCCTTTTTGCCTTGGCTTCATAAAACCACTGGCCACTCATATTCTTCAACTGTTGGTCATCCTTAATTTTTTCAGGCAAATGTCTACAAAAGGAAAAGAGCTTTACTTTGCTGAGAGCCCATGGTAAATAAATGAGTTTACTGTGACAGTGCATAAAGAAATTTGTAAACAGAAAGACATATAAAGCTCTCAATAATTTAGAAGACCCCACAAACCTCTTAGATGACTAAGAAATATATATATTCCTCTTTGAATGAAAAGTCGAGAAAGACAAGGCTTACACTTTTTAAAAATCAAAGATTTTATCCCTGACCTCCACATGATGTCTGGAATTTCTCAAGAACAGATTCACTTTTGGGCTGTGGTCTTCTGTGTCTACTGTTCAAATGCAAACACCCCAGGGAAAGATGATATATTAAGCATCTCTAAGCTTTGGTCCCTTTAGCTGTAAAAAGAGGTTAATCATACTAATCTACTTCATGGGATTGCTTTGAGGATTAAATTAGCTAATGCATATAAACTGCCCTTTGCAAATGCCTGGCACTTAATACCCAATGAATAAGTGGTGGTGTAGTTATCAGCTCATCAATCCTTTCCATTTCAGTGAAATGAGTTTTATCAGAGACTTTCTGTGGGGGAAGTGCATGATGTCTCTGGGTCTTAATGCTAGGGAAATGAATGCTGAAAAAGCAGGCAGGAGGCAGGCAAGATCAAATTTATGGTAGAAGGGGGACAGGGAGTAGAGGCAGAGGCACAGCCAATTGTGCAGCTACTGCTTTCAAGGGTTCCATGATCACTCATGCTCACTGAAAAGCTAAAGCCTATAGAACAAAACAAATGCAGCCCTAAAATCTTCCTAATTTACTCACTTAAAAAACACTGTTCTACTTAACAAGTCTTTTTTTGTTCATCGTGATAAATGTATTCTTTAATTCTCATCCCCTATTTCTCCCACCACCCTCCCCCCCCCCACATCCCCTCTGGTGACCATCAGTTTGTTCTCTATAGTTAAGCATCTATTTCTAGGTCTCTTTTTTCTTTGCTCATTTGTTTGTAAATTCCACACGAGTGAGATCACATGGTAGTTGTCTTCCCATGACTGACTTATTTCCTTTAGTATTACACTCTCTTGCTCTATCCCTGTTGTTGCAAACAAGATTTCTTTCTTTTTTTAGTGGCTGAATATATTCCATTGTAATACACACCACTTCTTCTTTATCCTTTGCCTATCAGTGGACACCTGGGTTGCTTCATAGTGTGGCTGTTGTAAATAGGTTGTAATAAACATAGGGGTGCATATATCCCTTTGATTCAGTGTTTTTGTATTTTTTGGGTAAATACTTAGTAATGTGATTACTGGGTGGTAGGGTAGTTCCAGTTTTAATCTTTTGAGGAACCTCCATACTGTTTTCCACAGTGGCTGCACCAGTTTGCATTCCTACCATCAGTGCAAGAGGGTTCCCTTTTCTCCACGTTTTCACCAATACTTGATGTGTCTTGTGTTTTAATTTTCACCATTCTGACAGGTGTGAGGTGATGACTCATTGTAGTTTTAATTTGCATTTGCCTAATGATGAGTGATGCTCAGCTTGTTTTCATGTGTCTCCTGGCCATTTGGATGTCATCTTTGGAGAAGTGTCTGTTCATGTATTCTGCCCACTTTTTAGTTGAATTATCTGTTTTTGGTACTGAGTTGTATCAGTTCTTTATATATTTTGGATACCAACCCTTTATGTCATTACCAAATATTTTCTCTCATTCCACAGGTTGCTTTTTAGTTTGTCTCCTTCACTGTGCAGAGCTTTTTATTTTAATGTAGTCCCAAAGTTTATTTTTGCTTTTAATTTTCTTGCCTTAGGAGACATATCTAGAAAAATGTTGCTAGGGCTAATGTCAGAGAGATTACTGCCTATGCTCTATTCTAGGATTTTTTATTATTTCAGGTCTCACATTGAGGCCTTTTAATCCATTTTGAGTTTATTTGCATGTATGGTATAAGAACGAGGTCTGGTTTTGTTACTTTGCACATGGTTGTCCAGTTTCCCAATACCATTTGCTGAAGAGCCTTTTTCCCATTGGATATTCGTTCTTCTTATGTTGAAGATTAACTAACCATATAATTGTGGGTTTATTTTTGGATTTCTTTAATATTCCAGTGATCTATGTGTCTATTTTTATGTCAGTACCATACTGTTTTAATGACTCCTGCTTTGTAATATAACTTGAAATCTGGAATTGTGATACCTCCAGTTTTGTTTTTCTTTTTCAAGATTGTTTTGGCTATTTGAGGTCTTTGGTGGTTCCATGCAAATTTTAGGTTTGTTTTAGCTCTGTGAAAAAAATGCACTGGGTATTCTGATAGGTATTGCATTAAATACATAGGTTGTTTTGGGTAGTATAGGCATTTTAACAATCTTTATTCTTCCAACCTATGAGCATGGAACATCTTTCCATTTCTTTGCATTGTCTTGAATTTCTTTCATCAGTGTTTCACACTTTACAGAGTACAGATCTTCCCCCTGTTTGGTTAAGTTTATTCCTAGATATTTTATTGGTTTTGGTACAGTTGTAAATGGGATTCTCTTCTTTTTTTTCTTTTTTTTTTTTCAATATATGAAGTTGGGATTCTCTACTTAATTTCACTTTCTACTGCTTCATTGTTAGTGTATAGGAATTTGTAGGATTTCTGTACATTGATTTTGCATCCTGCAACTTTACTGAATTCATTTATCAGTTCTAGCAGTTTTTTTGGGGGGGATATTTAGGGTTTTCTAAATACAGTAACATGTCATTTGCAAATAGTGACAGTTTTACTTCTTCCTTGCCAATTTGGATGTCTTTTATTTCTTCATGTTGTCTAATTGTTGTAGTTAGGATTTCCAGTACTATGTTAAATAACAGTGCTGAGAGTGGACAGGCTTGTCGTGTTCCTGACCTTAAGGCAAAAGTTCTCAGTTTTTCACCATTCAGTATATTGGCTATGGGATTTTCATATTTGGCCTTTATTATGTTGCAGTATGTTCCCTCTAAACATACATTACAGAAAGTTTTTATCATGAATTGGTGTTCTACTTTGCCAAATGCTTTTTCTGCATCTATTGAAATCATTATATGGTTTTTATCCTTTCTCTGATTGATGTAATGTATCATGTTGATTGTTTTGTGAATATTGAACCACTCCTGCATCCCAGAAATAAATCCCACTTGATTGTGGTGTAAGATTTTTTTTAATATAATTTATCATCAAGTTGGTTAACATACAGTGCATACAGTGTGCTCTTGGGTTGGGGGGTAGATTCCCATGATTCATTGCTTACATACAACAGCCAGTGCTCATCCCAACAAGTGCCCTCCTCAATGCCCATCACCCATTTTCCTCTCTCCCCCATGCCCACCATCAACCCTCAGTTTGTGCTCTGTATTTAAGAGTCTCTTATGGTTTGCCTCCCTCCTTTTCTGTTTATAACTATTTTTTCCCCTTCCCTTCCCTTCCCCCATGGTCTTCTGTTAAGTTTTTCAAGTTCCACATATGAGTGGAACTGTCTTTCCCTGCCTGCCTTATTTCACTTAGCATAATACCCTCCACTTCCATCCACATTGCTGCAGATGGCAGGATTTCATTCTTTTTCATTGCCAACTAGTATTCCATTGTATATATAAACCACATCTTCTTTATCTGTTCATCAGTTGATGTACATTTAGGCTCTTTACACAATTTGGCTATTGTTGAAATCACTGCTATAAACATTGGGACACATGTGCCCCTATGAATCAACACTCCTGTATCCTTTGGAGAAGTTCCTAGTAGTGCTATTGCTGGGTCATAGGATAGTTCTTTTTTTAATTTTTGTATTGTTGGATTCAGTTTGCTAATATTTTTTTGAGATTTTTACATGTATATTCATGAGAGATATTGGCCTGTAGTTCTCTTTTTTTTGTGGTGTTCTTATCTGGTCAGGGTGATACCGGCTTCATTGAATGAATTCGGAAGTTTCCCTTTGTCTTCTATTTTTTGGAATTGTTTGAGAAGAATAGGTATTAACTCTTCTTTAAGTGTTCGGGAGAATTTTCCTGTGAAGCTGTCTGGTCCTGGACTTTTGTTTTAGGGGATTTTTTGATTATGGATTCAATTTCATTGCTGGTAATTGGTCTGTTCAAATTTTCTATTTCTTCCTGCTTTAGTTTTGGTAGGTTATTCATTTCTAGGAATTTATCCATATTTTCTAAGTTGTCCAATTTGTTGGCATATAGGTTTTCATTAATATTTTGTTACAATTGTTTGTATTTCTGTGGTGTTGATTTCATTTGGGTCCTCTTTTAGAGGTTTATTAATTAGAGGTTTACCAATTTTGTTAATCTTTTCAAAGAACTAGCTCATAGTTTCACCTGTTCTATTGTTTTTTTAGTTTCTATGCCATTTATTTCTGTTCTAATATTTGTTACTTCCTTCCTTTCATTGGATTTGGGTTTTATTTGTTCTTCTTTTTCTAGTCCCTTTAGGTGTAAGGCTAGGTTGTTTGAGATATTTCTTGCTTCTTGAGGTAGTCTTATATTGCTGTAAACTTCCCTCTTAGAACTACTTTTGCTGAATCTCAAAAATTTTGGACCATTATGTTTTCATTTTCATTTGTTTCTATACAATTTTTTATTGCTTCTTTGATTTCATGGTTGACTCATTTATTGTTTAGTAGCATGCTATTTAACCTCCAAGTATCTGTGCTCTTTCCAGATTTTTCCTGTGGTTGATTTCTAGTTTCATAGTGTTGGGGTCAGAAAAGATCCCAGAGTCAAGCCCCTATTTTTAAAGTTACAGGCCTTAAGTCCCACTGGTTGTAAGAAATCACATATTAAGGTCCTCTCAATTTCAAAGGCAAATATTATGGGAATTCATCCTCCATTTTATGGGTTCCCTGTGGGAAAGTCTGTTTTCTGCCCTTCTTTGTGCCACCAGTTTCCTCTGCACCATAGATGGCCCTAATCCACTTCACTCCCAAACTGGGCCTTCACTCTTCCTACCTTATTCATTGTGGCCTCTTCTCCACCATTTAATTGTGAAGTTTGTTCTGTCCATCTTTGGGTTGTT